TTTGGCATGTTGACAAGTAAAATTGATTATATTACGTTGTCGCTAAGTATTCACGGTGATTGTTATCTCTACTAACAAATTGCATACTTATATGAAGATATCATTTTTCAAAGCATCAGGTTGCAGTTAATAACTTAAAATGATAGAGAGAAAGTCATTTGAAAAAAATCGTGCAACCAAGTATTCATGCGATCGTCGTTGTTTGTTTAGTCAGTCGATTCCCATTCCCGTTACGCGATACATTGTTATTACATCTGTTTAAAAGGAAAAGTTACGCCCGTAATACATTTTGACTTCATCAAAAAAATAACGCTTCTTTCATTGAGGATGACTAGAAAAAGTTTTCTATAAATTCAATAGCGAATGCTCGGCAGACGTAAACTTCAATTATTAGTTTCAGTAGTTGTAAAATGTAGTTAAGTTTTATTAATGTACATGGGGAAATCTAGACAATTTTTTCTAATAATGTCTCCACGTGATGAAATCTATTTTGCCAAAGGGATAGGACCATGAACAAATCACTGTGGGCATATTATACTTAAATTGTAAAATCATTGTGGATATACATTTAAGAGTAAATTCGTTTCGTGTTGGGAAATCTTGCAAACCTAGTTACATAATGCAAAGAGGCACATCCTAGGAATATAAGGTGATTGGTGAAATTGGTGTGGAGATTTCTGCGAATATGAATATGACGTCAGAAGTCCTGATTCCAATAATAGACGTTATTCCCTTGCTATCAATTACATTGATTGAAATGACGCCTATGATGCCCAAATTTGCCGCGCTATGCACACAACATGTTGATTTAAATGTAATGTACATAACGTTTGACGCATTGCACTTGGTAAATCACGTCAATACATAGTGTCTAATTAACAATAGATAATGTGTATGGATAATATATTTATTAACTGCGTACGAAAGGGCTACATAAAATATCGCTTTACTTATATGAGTGGGTGATGTAACATATATAATGTGTTAGCGTATGTTTGTGTACGAGTGAACGCAAAATGCAACCATGCTGTTGCATGTGAACGATATAGACGGGTACATAGTGAACAATTAAAAGTAATATTCTTTAATACTAAAATATTTCTTCAGTGTTTTCACGATTGAAGGTCTGACACACTGGAGAAAAGATTTCAACTAATCAATATTTTATAGTGAATGTTTTATACTTATTTTCAAGTGGAAAACAATAGAAATACAATGATATAACTATTTTATGTTTGATGGTCATTTTTTCAATAATATTTTTGCCACCGTTTTGAAATACAGCTGCACTATTAATAATTTAATACATGATTGAAAGCACACTGTTAGTGGTGAGAAATATACCAGTACTCGCACGTGATTCGTGACGTCACACTACAACATGATCGTTGGACTATTTAAAACTACATTGGAGGCAACATTGTCGGACATATCATTTCCCTCTCCACGGGGTAAGCAACACAATATCTATATCGATGAATATCGGCGTACATAAGTATACATAGCTTGCAAGGTTCTTCAAATGTACGATGTTGCATACTCTATGTGTACGAATTTCAGAATCTTTCTAAAAATTTCATTTAATGAATATGCTTTCTGGGTTGATTGTATATCTGATTATCGTTAGGTTGTTCAATAGTTATTTATTCTTTGGCAATTTCAACCAGTATTCAGACCCTTTTTTCTCAAGCTTTCGAATGCTAAACATGTTTTGCTCAATGTTCGCGAAAATTAGAAAAACAGGAGATAGTTGTTAATTTGATTTACCCATTAATATCACTGAGCTCATATATTGCTACTCGAAAGCATTTCAGATATATGTGATGTGCTATCCCACATGTAAGACAGAATTCAGTATACATCAAATTACATCTTCGGTTCAATTACCAGGCATACCGCAAAGCGATGGCCTAAAAGCAAACTAAAACAGAGTTGTCAGAAAAACGTTGAAGTAGGGGGACTCCGGCGAGCGTGCAGATGACACTTACACGTGTAGGTGTCAGTTTCGACTTAATGGAATACATATTATTTTATTACAGACAAACCAGCTTTATTCACCCAAATGGTCAGCTGTTGTAACGCCTCACTGTACACTTCTCCTTCTCTCTTCATACAAAGCTTCTAGTTCATGCGACACACACAATACATGGTAATCTGATTGTTATGATTGACAAAGTATCATGCCGCGTGTTTATATATTTTTCTTTTTAGTGTAATGGGATCGCAACATCATAATTGAGGAAATATGTTGTAGTTTAGGAAATTAGTCGTAATTATGGATGGCTATTGTAATCAAGACACACTCGTATTAGTATTAAATAAGATACAGACTTATGCAGACTTACTTTCATTCACAATATATAAATCGTTTGTATTGAGCTGGACTCTTTGTCTTCTATTTGAAAATATGATCTTATACGAAATCACACAATAGCCTCGTGCGTGCAGATGGACTGGGGGCAATTATTTACGAAGTTTGGGAGAACACTAATATTTCTCTCGAAGCGAAGCAACACTGTGTCAAACAATTCCAGGATGGTGACCCGGGACGTCTGGTGTTTTCGTTTTTGTTCGTTTTTGTTTTTAGTACCTCGCTGTTTTAACCGCTGGCTCGGATTTATTTTTATATCACTTAACAAGAACCAATGCTGTTCAACAAACTGAAATGAGTCCATAATGCGCATGCATTTACGTGACTTCACAATAGCCATCACACCACTCACTCAAAATAAAGTGCTTTTTTGATTGGATGATTTTAAACTGACTAATTATTGTCATTATTATTAGGGGTCGAAGCCTGGAGGGCTAGGTTCCTATTGTTATCGTCGGGGTTCCTCTTATTCCTTCTTTCTCATGTAAATTGCTTTCGTCAAGTCCTTTGAGAAAACTCCATACTGATTGTCCCTAATGTGAACTGGTGTATAAGACTTATAGAATTGTGATTGGACTACTGGCTCGGCGGCCATTTTGAAAATGGAATTAAAACGGAAGTAACCACTTTCTAAGTCGCGTGGTTTTTGCGCTATCTTTGATTTAGCGCAAAATTTACCAAAAAGTTGGGCATTTGTTTCCCAGAGGTGCTTCAACCAATCACTTGGATATGTTGTATATATCATGTATGTTCATAGCTTCATATGATAAAAATAATAATATAATTTTGATCAGTCACATGTTGTGGTCACCATCTTGAATTACATGTAATGAATAACAAAAAGTTTGGACATTTGTTTGTCTTGAACGCTCCAACCAATCATCTTGATATATTGCACATAACATGTTTGATCATAGCTATATACGAGAAAAATAAAATAATCGATGAGGCACATAGTTTGACCGCCATCTTGGATTATTGACAAAAATGACCAAAAGTTTGAGCATTTGTTTCTCGTTAGCGCTTCAACCAATCAAATGGATATTTTGTATATATAACATGAAAAGCCATAGATTGTTGCAAGAAAAGTGTTCTAAATATAATAAGTCTCTTGGTTTGGCCATCATTTTAGAATGTGTGAAAACGGAACTTGTGCAATTACATGTGTTGTATTGGTCCGAATGTACTATGTGCATTCTACTCCTACTCAAATATACATTCTTTCACCAGAATGGCATATGGCTAGGACATGCGCCTGGGCGCCCACAGGGTGTGACGCTTCTAACCTCATTAATATACATAACTGTTAGATCTGACTAAAATACCAGATGATCGCATATGGTCTTGTGAACTCATTACTATGAATAACTGTCATATCTGAAACACTGTTGCAGAATGGGATATGAAGGCAGGAAACAAAAGATTACGGATGGTTGTATATAGTGATATAATCTCATTATTATGCATGGACGCATGGCTCATTATATATTCTGAAAAACATATCTCGATAACCAAACCGGATATAATACATGGAACCAACTGTTTTTTAACCACATGGTACTGATCATTTAACCTACCCCAATTGTAATCATTGATTATGGAATATATGTCCGCTAGCTTGGGCCCGACTGGCGCCGCTTGCGGCTTTATTTAATAAATATATTAGTATTTATTGTAATATATATTGTAGACTGATGTGTAATATTATTCCTGTTAACGGTCAATGATTATTGTGTTGTTGGTTATGAACTTACTAGTGTCACTTATTTGTCATATTCTGGTTGTGTTCTTTTGTTTGACGTTCAGTAGTGTATACTGGATTGCGGATATTGGCGACCAGGTTGACGTGAGTCTTTCACATGTGTATGATTATTACAATGGCAATTACAATTGCTACAATTAATTCTGGTTAAAAATCTCTTCTACTGTCCATGGCACCTACATACACAGTATCATAGCAATTGAGATGATAATTTAGAGGCAGAAGTCAATATAATTGTTGAGCAAAAATTAATTCGCTAAAAATAGAGATGAAAAAACTGTTATAAAATAAATAAATTTGATAGCCGTCCACTAAAGGAACGTGTACATATGTTTTCTCACAACTTTAATAAATACCGTGTGTGAAACCACATAATTAAACTAACAATAAGTTGTACACATAATAATGTCTACATGATGTCAACAACTATACACTATATGAATCTTATAATATTTATTCTATATTGGCGTTAGTGAATGAATATCAATATTCTAAATTTAAATCGAGTTTTATTTATGTCAGATAACTATTTGGTATATTTTGACAGTTGATGATTCTTTAAATTAACCAGGTTTTACCATCTCAAAATACACCTTGGTAATACAATCAACTGAATGAAACAAACTATTTTTTTAGTCAGATTACCTAGAGTTGCTATTTTAATCTCACAGTGAAGATTACACTTTATATACAAAATAACAATAACAAAAAGTCTCAATAAAATATGGCTTCGCGAACATATTGTTCAATATTGTACAAACCGTATGTTGCAGACTGATATGTTATTATGAGCTATTTCCGTTCTTTATAATGACGGTTGAAGTTGATATTGCTAATTTTCTCCACAAAGTTATACAATCGCCATGTTTACAATATTAGCGAGGCAGTAACATTTGTGTGTATTAGTGGAAAGCCTTTTCTTCTGAGCAGTGAATTTGTTTTTATTATCAGATCATCTATATCCTTGTGCATTTTACTAGTGAATGGATCTATATTCAGAATTAAATTATCATTTTTAGAACGCTTGAATTTACCCGTAGTGTCTGCTAGAATGCAATCAGTTCTCAAATGACTTGAACTAACGTTTAAAAATGTAACCATTCTGTCCACTTCATGAAGTAAATGGGTTTGTATATCCTCATATTGGACTACCAGTATCGACACATTGCTTTTTAACCAATTTATTGCAAATTTTTCATAACATTGAACTTGAGTGTTGACGTGTACCAACCAGCCTACAAAAGAGAAAATACATTAAAATTTAATATTATCATACACATATATGTGATGTCAATTGCTAGCAGATGAGTAATCAATTAGAGTAAGCATCCTAGTTCAATGACTATTACATACAACAACCCGTGAAAAAAAAGATTC